GCAAATAAATTCATTGAAATCACAGGCTTGAAGTCAGAGGGAGTTCAGTAAACTAATTCAATTCTCTTTACAATTCAGGAAACTTTTTTACAACATTTTTGTTTGAATCCTAAGTAGGAGTGAGTTCTCCATTTTGGAAGGTAGTCAATGAAAATGAGGGCTTTAACTTATTTTAGGCTGAATTCTGTTTCCCCCTGTAACGTCCACCTGGTGGCCAAAGTTCTGATGCCTGAAACAATGAAGAAACAATGTGGGTAGACTGATTAACCCTCTGTTACCTGTTAATATATTTTTATCAGAAATAATTTTTAAAACTATAGGATTTAAAACCAGATACATTGAAAAAGCTCTACATTCTGAATTTTAATAAAGGAGAATTAACTTTGTAGACTGAGGGGAGACAGGCAGATAATATAAAATAAGAGATCATGCTTGGAGGAATGGTGAAGAAACGGGAGAGCGGCCAAAGAGGACAGCCACTCCTGATCCTGGGAACACTGCTGACATGAGAAAACATGGGTCCGATGTTCCTAGATCTGCCACTTTTCCGAGAGAAGGGCCAAACTAAGCATTTTCATGTGAACTATCCCAATTGTTAGTGTTGACAAATAATTCAATGTGTAAAATATTGTATAGGCCAAACAAAACAGCTTCAGGGACTGAACTCAGCTGGAGCCCACAAGTTTCCAATTTCAAATGATCTTCTCTAAGTTTTATTTAAAGAGAAGATATCGATAGTTGCTATTCTAAACACCAGTACTGTATACATCAAGTGAAATAGTAACATATTGCTAATGTTACTTTATACTTGAAAGAAACTCATCAGAACTAAGATTTAAAATTCTCCAAATTTTAGAGTGTTCACTAATGCCATAGCCTATTATCATAAATACAAGATTCACACAGAAAATTAACTCCTTAAAGAATGTTCAATATATTTAACACATTTTTAATGTAAACTTAAAGACTAAATCTCTAGCTAGGTAAAATCATCTGGTTGGCTACATAATTTACTTTAACAACCAGCTTGACTTTTGCTATGGTTTGTGACTTTAGCTGACAGATGTTTCATTTCTCTTGTGTTGTTATCCTCTACTGTTATCTTAATTCATGAGAAAGCAGAGCCAACTGTCAATGAAAAAAAGAATCATGACACACACACTCGTTATCAACTACATGATTCTTTTTGTTCATGACATGTTAAAAATCAAAAATTGGAAGATTAATTATCTTTCTAATAGACGATTTAAATATTAGGAACATCTTTTATAAAGATCTATTGAAATCAATTAGATTTCAGTTAATTCTTATTGGCAAAAAGAACAAAAGAGAAAATTTATAAGCATATCACTGTAAAAATGCTCAGAACCATTCAATTTTTTTACATATCAGTTTTTTACATCCAAAGCATGCTGGTTTTGAACTTTGTGACAAAACAATGAAAACCAAATTGGATATGAAATAACAAAAGATTTATATCAAAAACAAATACACATTTCAATAAACTTGGAGTCAGAGAGAGTGGAGGAGACATAAGAACCAGATATTTAATTTAAATCATTGATAGAAATAGTCAGTGTCTTCTTTTCATAAAACACTTGGATTTTATTTGTATTCAAAAGCAATGGTAAATGTCAAATGACGACTAGACCATCCTTCTGAATACAAGAAATATCATGCTGTTTAACTCTCTAAATACAAAAAGTGCTTTTAGAAAAACAAAGATAAAGAACAGCATGTCTTAGTCAAACAGATCGATTTGAGAACCGGAAAATGCTAAAAGGTACCATGAACATAACAGTAAAAACTTCTAATTATTCCGTATTTAAAATTTAGAACTTCAAAATAAAGTTTACAGTTAAGAATTTTTAAATCTAGGGTAAATCTTATATTTAAGATCTGAATATTAAAGTTTATCTCCACGCAAGGAATCCTTTATTAAAGCTAGCAGCATTAAACATAGATCCTTTTTACATATACTATGTATAAAATACTATCAAAGGTTCTATCATACTTTAATTATGAAAGAAAATAATGACTTTGAAAGAAAAAAATTTGACTTTGGGTGGCAGGCACACAATGCAATATACAGATCATGTATCAGAAATGTACACTTGAAACCTATATGATCTTATTAAGCAATTGTACCCCAATCCATTTTTAAAAAAGAAAGAAATGGACACTTGAAATCTGTATTATAAAAAAAATGAGATTAGTTTTAAAAAAGAAAACTAAAAGTTTTACATATAAGTATCACTGGTGTGTAAATCCCAACTATGAAATGGTAAATTGACTAATTAGCTATTTGTTTTTTCTTGTTTATCCTCACTCAGTTTTTACTACAGCAATGATGAAAAAAAAATATCCATCAGAAAAGCCAAAGAAAAGTCAGGCAAATGGTCTAAATTTAATAGGAATAGTATAACCTTCCACTGAACTAAAAATGGTGAAGGAATTAAATAAGGGCACATGTAAAATGCTTATCAATTACTTGTGTAATAAAGGTTACTTTTCTCCCCTTATCCTTACATGGCTCACTATTATCTCACTCATTAAGTCTCATGACACCTAAAGAGCAACCTTTGAGAGCAGCAGGCACTCAGTGCCTCCCCCAAGTCTGAGACACAGTACCAAGTATTTAGTAGGGGGTTAATAAATGCTTCTAATTTATTAGAGGATAGTAATAATGAACAAATGTAAAAGAGATGCTAATTGATAGGCTAAATGCATTAGTGCATCCCAGTGCCCTCTATATGAAAGGTTACTAGCCCATCTGAGCTAAGTGCTAAAATTATAATTAAGTCTGATGGGAAGTCCTAGATTTATACCAATATAATTACAAATATTACTTAGCTTAGTGAAAGAGTATGGCAAGAACAATGAGATGAGTAATTTAGATGGTACTGCAAAGTGGGTTTTAATGTTCGAAACTTCTATTACAGTACACAGGATAAGTGCAAGAAGTGTAATTAAAACCTAAGAGTCTGATCTTTAAAACTCTACAGCTCAACCTCATTAAAATGCATGCTTTCTCAATTAATCCAAACTTTTCCATTAAAAATATAAAAATATACTTTCATTCTTTGCAAATAAATCTCTACAGTACATATATTTATGATCAAATAGCAAATAACCATTACAGTTAAGTAGGAGAAAACTGATGGAAACAGCGAGAGGCCCAAGTGGACGGAGCTTAACAAAGGGAAGAAAAGGCAAGGTGAGCCCAGTTTTCTATTTGTAAATACCACATTTAAGTAAGTTTTTAAAGAGCTCGAAGATTTGAAATTCCCGAGTATCTTTGCCTAAATGATACAAATTTAAGCAAACTGTTTACTTAGGAGATAACCCTTATAACCCTATATAGACTGCATCTTGTTTACTCTCTATGTACTGACTCCTCTACCCAGTGAGGGACACAGATAATCGTTCTGGAATGAAAGGCCTTCATTTTCATAATCATTTTGTTGCACACATAGATTTCTCCTTTTAATCTGATGCATTACCAAGAAGTTTATCTCACTATTAAGCTAATGGTAAACACCTAAAAAAAGAATGTATACTTGAAACCTATATGATCAAAAAAACCCAAATGAGATTAGTTTAAAAAAAACCAAACTAAAAATTTTACATACAAATATCACTGGTGTGTAAATCCATAGGATAATGTTTTATGTACTTTATTGTATTAGTTGTTACGAAAAGACACTTAAAAGATTATTTTAAAGTTGTCATATAATTGATTACAAAGAATGTTGATTATAGAGAATTTTATTTTTTAATTTTTATCAATTTTCTTTAGATTTCAATAGACTTCATACAGTAACTATTACTCAAAAGCAATAAAAACCTTTTATAAATGATGACCCTGTGCCCATTCTAGATAAGTAACTTTTTCAAGAAAAGTTTTACTAAGAAATAGCCAAGTCATAGTCTATCACATAATTTAAAGAGTAATGCAGGGTAATTTAAGAAAATATCATCAGAATTTACCACAATCGGGGAAAATGGGCCTGGCATGATTTTATTTTTAAAGTATAAAAGGAAATTAAAAGTGGAGGGAGATGAAGCCCATGAAATTTTGCCAACCAATGTCACCCCAATAAATTTGATTTTAGAAGAGTGGCAGGGAAAAGTGTCTTGAAATTAAAGCATTATCAGACACAAACTTAAAAAATTATTGCTGCTACTAGTGAAAAAAATATTTAAATCTAAATAGGTTCTAACTTTAGCTTAAATAATACTTTCTATTTTAAAAGCAAAATATTTTTGGAGGTCTATCTTTAAAAAAACTTATTCTTGAAAAGTTACTGGACAAAAATCTTGTCTAATGTCTGTATTTAAGAACCCACCAAAACAAATCAGTAGCAGTACAGTAGTACTACTTTGCAGTTATTTTCATTATAAAAGAGAAGTCTAGTCTCAAGGGTCCTGGAAACCTTTTTTTCCTTCATGCAATATTTCAAAGAAATAGTTTCTCACTATTTATATGAAAAAAACTGCCTGTTATACACATCTTTACATTATATACCAAATGCCCATCACATGACTTTCACTTTGAAAACAAACTATATTTATACAGAGAACAAAATATCATCCTTGAGATAGGATCTAAATGTACAATGTTTGAAATAGTTTCTAAGAATCATATTCCTTGGTAAGTGAACAGTAAAATCAACTACAAAAGTTGCAAAAATATTAGTGACACATAAGCAAAATATCCTGGATGTGTAACAAAGAATAAATTCAACAGACTGCTATTGATATCATTGTTTAGACAAATATGAATCTTAGCATATGAAAACCATGTTGCAAATATATGCAACGGATGGATTAAAAGTATACAGTTAGGTTTTTACAACTTAAACACATCTATTTGAAAAGCCATGGCTACATTACATTTTCCTTAAAGTTGACATGCCTTGTTATAATGATAATTAGTATTTGGTACATAGAACACATTTTCTTCTGGAAAACTGTTTTTAAGATGTTATATTCATTACCTGTCATTTATGATCCAGTTCAGACAGAGATTGAGAGAGCTAAGATTTTTGCATCTCTTGACAATTTCCATCACGGTTTCATTATCCAGTTCAGTGATATGACGTAGGTCCAAGCTGGAAAGGTTTCTTAGCTAATGAGATAAATAAAATAAAAGGTGAAAAAATTAAATGCTACATTCATTCTCAAAAGTTATATAGTTTATTACAAAGTAGAGTGTCATCATTGTATACTATTTAAATAGATAATTGTCCACAATCATTTCATTAAACTGTTTAAATAGTATTTTACATACTAAATTAGAGATAAGGGCAGAAATCTATGGTGAATATATAAATGACAATACACTAAAATCAAACAGACATGATTGAGGCATAATAAAAATAAGAAGTTAGCAATCTAATATAGGTGGGGAAGCTGTTACATATATTACATTAAGTACCTACAACATGATATGATTATTCTCTTTAACATTGTTCAGTTTCAGATATTTATCTTCACAATTATCATGCTACTTCTGCATAGGTTTTCTCATTTTTTTAAGATAAAATATGAGTTAAGTGGTTAATTCAGAGATATCAGGGTGCTATTTTATCAATGTACTCCAATTTGAACCATATGGGTTGTGCATTTCACCATGTGGAAAGCAACAGAACATGTTATTTAAGAAGTAAATATTTTCTCTAGGTACCACTTTCCCCATTTCTTCATTTTCTCTACTCTTTTTCTGATGTTTCCTGTCTTCCCATGATGTTTAGTCTCTAAAGAAAAATAATAATATAATTTAAACAAAGATAGTAGGATCTTAATTATCCTCTAAACTACTTTTCAGATAAGTTGTTTTTGCTTAATACCATTTATTTGCAAGAGGATCTAAGCTCTAGAAAGAAATGCAACCCCAACGGAGACCTTGATTACGGTCTTGTGAGACCCTGGGCAAAACCCAGCTTATAGTATCTGGACACTTGATCCATGGAAACAGTAGATAAATGTACATTGTTTTAAGCTCCCTACCTTAGGCTCCTTCAGCTCCCAAGCGAGTGCTTTCTGGGAAAACAGGAAACTCTAATGTGTCCATTTGTTAGTGCCACATTGTCAGTGGGGGTGGGAAAGTCTTGCTAAATTTCTCAAACCAATTCCTGACTTTCACTCAAGTCATATTTTGTAAACAGTCATATGTTTCCCACACAGACCCTAATACTACAAGGTAACCATCTTTTTACATTCACTAAACTTTTATTTTCCACAAGATTTTGTACTGGGGCTAAAGAAATGCCTAAACTGGCTTCATGGGTCAAGTTTTGTTATTCTTTATTAAGTACAGGTGAACTTGTACATGTCAAGGATCACAGTAACTGTTAAATTTATTATTAATCACTCTTCGTAATGTTCCCCTCAGTAATGCACCCTATACTTCTATTTTCTATATAAAAACCACCATTTTTCTTAAACCACATTATTTTTATAGTTAGCTCTTTTTACAAAGTATTTTCAATCCCAACACCCAAAATTTTTTTTGCTGTTGGAAATGTCTCTTGCAGTAACATGTAAAACACCAAATAGCCTCCTTGATTCACAGGTGCTGGGCAGTTTGCCGGGCTCCTGTCCTGACAGCAACCTCATGTCTGTACCACAGCAAAACCAGATAAGGACCTATAGGGTTTCGTGAAAATACTTTGAAGCATGACTAATAAATCTATGAATGTAAAGGATGAATTGTGCTATGTATAAACACATACATACGTGTACTGTTAAATAGAGCCACATGCAATACACATAGAGCGTCACTGTATTTTCCCAATTACCCTTTATTATAGTCACTAGGAAGCCACAGTCATAAAAATTTTATCCAGACACACAAATATCTCCTATACATGTATATTTTGGGATCTAGCGCAGCTTCTGAGACAAAATTTGCTTCCTTCATTGTAAAATATCTCTTAGTCACAACAATGTGAATGTGCTTAATACCAATGAACTATACACTTTAAAATGAATACAAAGGTAAACTGTATATTATGTGCCTTTTACCACAATTTAAAAAAATCTCTTTATCAACCAGGACATAGTAGAAACATATGATGAAGTTCCATCAAGAAGAAAAATGTAAGTTACTGGCGCTAGTTCAGTCCTCTCACGTTAGGGAAGATAAGTGAGGACCAAAGAGGTTTGAAAAACTTATTAAATTACAACTAATAGGGAGAGAGATGCTAGCAAATCTAAACTACATATTGTATAGACTTGGGAACATTTAAAGATATCTTCTAGGACAATATAATAGCAAGGAGTAACAATTCCAGTAACAATCTACATGTGATAAAACCCTAATTCTGGTTGATTGACTCCTGAGCTGCTGGAAATCCAGCAGCCAGGCTGCTTCCCGGTGCGAGGTGGGTCAGGTGACGGCACTGGGCCGCTGTGGCTGGTGCTGCCCTGCACGTGGTGTCCATAAATGGAACATTTCTTACCCTCGCAATGGAGCAAATTCAAATACATGAAGAAACAGATTTACCTTGGTTCCCACAAGCCAGCATTTTATTGAGATCTTGAAGGGTGTTTTAGATTCAATTACAGCTCATTTTTTTTCCTGAGCTGACAGTCACTGCCTAGGCTCACATGGCCTTCCCTATGACCATTTTACCTAGTTCATCTTGAAATATGACAGTATCCAAAGGCCGTTCCAAGAAGCTAATTCCTGGTAAGGTGCAGTATTATAAGACACATACTGAACATCTCTAGGAGATGCGGCATATTTTCATTCAAAACTCCACAAACAGCTCTGTCAAATTCATCAAATTCTTTACCTTGCTATGGGAATTTCATAATAGTGCCCTCCAGTGTTTCATAAAAAGCTACCTAAAATAATCCTTCAGAGTCTGAAACAAATAATTACATTTACAAAACTGACATTTTAATTAAACTTACTTTCCTTATAAATTCACTGGTAGTCTTGGGTTATACAAATCACAGAGGATTTGAGTAAGTAAAGCCATACAACCAAGATCTTCTAAATGCTTCATTCCAGTTTTTAAATGTTCAGTAAAGTATTTTAAAAGAAACTCAAGTCAGAATGTAGAATGTAGGTAATCAACTTTCAGTTTAATACTGCTTTTATTGGGAAAAGTATTACTTTAACCAATTCAGGTTAAAGACTAAAATTAGTCAATGATTGGTATAACTGTATGTGCACTTAAGTATAAAGTGAGGCACTAAAATGTTACCTAGGAGACACAGGCTTGGAGGATTATAAAAATACCTTAAATGGCTTCCAACTTTTCTTAAGACCCTGGAAAAGCATAAAATGGAACAAAATTCTCAACTGTACAGGCTGACTGCAGTGAATGAAGCAACAGGGGAAGACTCACAGAGTCAGCAGAGACAGCAAGGATGTTCCATTCTTTCAGGGTAACAAGGATAATTTATGTGACGCCACTTGGAGGTGATAATTTTTTGAAAGACTAAACATTTCTGTATAGTTAAATATGTTCAAATGTCAGCTAGTACCTAAATCACTTCTTGCCAGCCCTGCAGATGTTGGCTTTATTGGGACTGAGTTTCAGAGCAATCAGTTGTAATCTTTAGGGATCAAAGTCAAGGGTTAAGACACGCTGCCTTGACAGGGTTAACTGGGGCTGTAGATCAGTACCACACACTCATCTGCCAACCACCTGTCAGGCTGCCAAGATGATTACTGGAGAGACCAAAAGCACAGGGAGACAAGGGTTAGAGAAAGGCATTTATAAGAAAGCTGGGGAAAGCCTTCTACTAAGGACAGGGTGGGGGACGCAGGAGAAAAGGAGAGGGTTTTAGCACGGGTCATTGCATGGTAAAACTGAAAAAAATACTAGAGCATTAGAGCACTGCTGGGAATGGAAAGAAAAGGGGCAGAGAAAGAATTTCTCTCCCTGAGCACAGGAAAGCTTTCACACTTTGACAGGGCCTGCTATGTACATTTAGAGAAGAACTTGGTTGGACAAGAAAAAGAATAAAGGGCATCTCTTCTGCTCATCAATAGGTCTGAACCTCAGCTTCGTTAAAGCTGGCACTGGAGTACAGAAATAGCAATAAAAGCTAAATAAACCACATTTAGGACATCAGGCAAATCCTTTTCAGCACCTCATAGAACTGAGAACCTCAGCAGGAACTAAAAGCTTTTAAGTAGAGAGCCCGAGTGCCTGGCAGAGAATATAAAATTTTCTAATTCTAACCATGAAAATAGGACTTCCAGGGTCTTAAATGCTGTCACATCCACAATAACTACCATGTTAATTCTCTGGCATCTTCTCTATGTATAGTCCTTCAAACCACTGACTTACTCACCCCGGGCTGCTGTTTCTTTGCTTTATTTCCAAATCAAGGCCTGTTTGGTTCTTTATTCTCCCACAGGATCTGATATCTCTCACCATTTTATTCACATTCTGTTTTGCCCTCTAAGACACTTTACTGTACTGCTTCTCCTCAGAGCTATCTCTTTTAACTCCTTCTTGCCACAATATTCACATGGAAGTTCTCACAGTACTCAGAGAGCTGTGTTCATTATTTTAAAACTGATCTCATTTCTTGATTAGAGAGAGGAAAAATTAATGAGTTATAGAAATATACGTGCCTTAACACAAATTATGAACTAGGCAGTCCTCATTATAACTATGCCCTTTAGGCAGGAATCATCCATTGGTAACAAATGCGAAGGGAGCAAAGTTCCCTTCCCACTACAACTACTTGGGGATCCCCACTTTGTTTTCTCCATCTCCTTCACCCTCTAATTCCCCTTCTCCTCCCCATCAGCCCTTCCCTGGGCTATGTTGCTCAGGACCACCTCACACCATCTCTGAAACCTTTAGGAAATAAAAATATTCCAAGTGCAAAAGGGAATCCCAAAGCTTGCCTATCAAAGCTCTTCACTGCACAGACATTTGACATCTAATCTTAATGTTTGAGCTGACGTAAACCTGGGTCTCTGGTGTGGTAGTTGTGGTACACTTTCATTCATTCATTCACACTTATTTAAATGTTTCCTGAACACCTGGTTTTAACCTTGGCTACACTTTAGGGTCATGTGGGTAACTTTAAAAAATAGGGATGAGCAGGTCCCATCCATAGAACCAGCCATTACTATTTCTGAAAAAGATACCC